AGACATGGGTTTCACCATGTGCGACCAGGCTGGTCTGGAACTCCAGGCCTCAAATGATCCACCCCTCACGGCCTTTGGAAGTCCTAGGACTGCAGGTGTGAGCCACCACACCCGGATGACTTTTTCATTGTTATTATATCTGTTATGATGATCGGTGATCAGTGATTTCTGTTTTTATTACATAGAGACAGGGTCTCACCCTATTGCCCAGGCACATCTATCAGTGCTATTTTTCCAGCAGAATGTGCTCATTTTGTGTCTCTGTGTCACATTTTTGTAATTCTCACAGTATTTCAGACTTTTTCATTATTATTATATCTGTTATTGTGACCAGCAATCGTTGATATTACCATTGCAATTGTTTTGAGGCGCCACAAGCCATGCTCTTATAAGACAGAGAACTTAATTGATGAATGTTACATGTGTACTGACTGCTCCACCGAGCCATTTCTCATTTTCTCACCCACTCCTTTGACCTCCTATTCTCTGAGACTCAACAATGTTGAAATTAGATCAGTCAGTAACCCTACAATGACCTGTAAGTGCTCAAGTAAAGGAAGAGTCATAAGTCTTTTGCTTTAAATCAAAAGCTAGAAATGATCAAGCTTCATGAGAGAGGCATGTCAAAAGGTGAGATAGGCCTCTTGTGCCAGTCAGTAAAGTTATGAAACAAAAGGAAAATTTCTTGAAAGTTATTAAAAGTGGTACTCCAGTAAACACACAAATAATAAGAAAGCAAAATAGACTTGTTGCTGATTGAAGAAACTTTGAGTGGTCTGGATAGAAGAGGAAACCAGCCACAACATTCCCTTAAGCCAAAGCCTAATCCAGAGCAAGACCCTAACTCCCATTCTATGAAGGCTGAGAGAAGTGAGAGCTACCGAAGAAAAGTTGGAAGCTAGCAGAGGTTAGTTCATGAGGTTCAAAGAAAGAAGCTGTCTCTAACATAGAACAAGGTGAAGCAGCAGTTGCTGTTGTAGAAGCTGTGGCAAGTTATCCAGAAGACCTAGTTAAGATCATTGATGAAGGTACCTCCACTAAATGACAGATTTTCCATATAGATGAAACAACCTTCTGTTGGAAGAAGATGTCGTCTAGGACTTTCTGGAGAGCTAGAGAGGAGATACCAATGCCTATCTTGAAAGCTTCGAAGGTCAGGCTGACTCTCCTCTTAGGGACTAATGCAGCTGGTGACTTGAAGTGGAAGCCACTGCTTATTTACCATTCTGAAAATTCTGGGGCCCTTAAGAATTATGCTGAATCTACTCTGCCTGTACCCTGTAAATTCAACAGCAAAGCCTGAATGACAGTACATCTGTTTACAGCATGGCTTACTATTTTAAGCCACTGTTGAGATCTACTGCCCAAAAAAATAGATTCCTTTCAAAGTATTACTGCTCCTTGACAATGCACCTGGTCACACAAGAGCTCAGATGGAGATGTTTAAGGAAAGTATGTTGTTTTCATGCCCGCAAACACAACAGCCATTCTGCTTTCCGTGGATCAAGGAGTAATTTCAACTTTCAAGTCTTATTATACGAGAAATACATTTCATAAGACTATAGCTGTCATAGATAGTAATTTCTCTGATGGATCTGGCCAAAGTACATTGACAACCTTTTGGAAAGGATTCACCATTCCAAATGCCACTTAAGAATATGTATGATTCATGGGAAGAGATCAAATGTCAACATTAACAGAAATTTAGAAGAAATTGATTTCAACACTCATAGATGACTTTCAGGAAGGAGTTCAAGACCTGGAAGGAGGAAGGAACTGCAGATATTGTAGAAACAGCAGGAGAACTAAAATTAGAAGTGGGGCCTGAAGATGAGACTGAATTGCTGCAATCTCAGATAAAACTTAAAGAGATGAGCAACAAAAGTGACTTCTTGATTTGCAGTCTACTCCTGCTGAAGATGCTGTGAATATCATTGAAATGACCACAGAAGATTTAGAATATTACATAAACTTAGTTGGTAAAGCAGTGGCAGGTATTGAGATAATTGACTCCAGTTTTGAAAGACATTCTATTGTGGGTGATATGCTATTCACAGTATCACCTGCTTCCAAGAAATCTTTCATGAAAGGAAGAATCCATTGATGTGGCAAACTTCATCTTTGTCTTAAGAAATTACAGCCAGGCATGGTGGCTCACACCTGTAATCCCAGCACTTTGGAGGCTGAGACAGGCGAATCACCTGAGGTCAGGAGTTTGAGACCAGCATGGTCAACATGGTGAAACCCCATCTCTACTAAAAATGCAAAAATTAGCCAGGCATGGTGGCACCTGCCTGAAGTCCCAGCTACTAGGAAGGCCAAGGCGGGAGGATTGCTTGAACCCAGGAGGTGGAGATTGCAGTGAGCCAAGATCTTACTACTGCACTCCTGGGTGGTCAACAGAGTAAGACCCTGTCTCAAAAAAGGGAAAGAAATCACCACAGCCATGCCAACCTTCCATAACTACTACCCTGATCAGTCAGCACCCTGATCATAAGTACCACCCTGATCAGTCAGTAGCCATCAACATTGATGGAAGCAAGAGCCTCCATCAGCAAAAAGATTACAGCTTGCCAAAGGCTCAGGTGATTATTAGTATTTTTTAACATACAAGGTATGTACATTATTTGTGTGTGTGTATGTGTGGTTTTTTGTTTTGTTTTTGTTTTGTTTTTGAGACAGAGCCGTACTCTGTCACCCAGGCTGGAATGCAGTGGTGCCATCTTGGCTCACTGCAACCTCCACCTCCCAGGTTCAAGTGATTCTCCTGCCTCAGCCTTCTGAGTAGCTGGAATTACAGGTGCCTGCCACCATGTGTGGCTAATTTTTGTATTTTTAGTACAGACAGCATTTTACCATGTTGGCCAGGCTGGCCTGAACTTCTGACCTCAGGTGATCCATCCACCTTGGCCTCCCAAAGTGCTGGCATGAACCACCATGCCCAGCCATGTACATTGTTTTTTTAGACAATTCTTTTGAACAGTTAATAGACTACAGTATAATGTTAACGTATAGACTTTTATCTGCACTGGAAAACCAAAAAAATATGTGTAGTTCACTTTATTGTGATATTCACTTCATTGCAGTGATCTGGAACTAAACCCACAGTATCTCTAAGGTATGCCTATAATGCCTGACATAGTAAAGTCTCAACAGATATTAGCTATTGTAATTACTGTATAAGATTTTTTAATCTATGATGTAGGATGTAATCTTAGAACATTATATACCATAGTGAGACAAAATATTCCATTTCTGGGACCCTTACCTCTTTCCCTGCAATCTTTTTTTTTTTTTTTGAGATGGAGCTTCACTCTGTTGGCCAGGCTGGAGTGCAGTGGTGTGATCTCAGCTCACTGCAACCTCTGCCTCCTGGGTTCAAGCAATTCTCCTGCCTCAGCCTCCCAATAGCTGGGATTACAGGTGCCTGCCACTATGCCCAGCTAATTTTTTTTTTTTTTTTTGTATTTTTAGTAGAGATGGGGTTTCACCATCTTAGCCAGGCTGGTCTTGAACTCGTAACCCTGGGATCTACCCGCCTCAGCCTCCCAAAGTGCTGGGATTACAGGCGTGAGCCACCAAATTTTTTAATGGGGATGTCCTCAATAGAGGTGGCCTAATTCCAGAACCCAGTGAATTTAGTTATCTTTGCCCCTTTAGTATTTGCAGCTCTTTCTATCTAGAATCAGCACAATTTTAATGAGAAGTCAAGCAAAACATTTTTTTGCATAAAGAGAGGAAGGCAGAATGTGAGATGGCATTGACATCTGTGCCTCTGCCCTGGGCCAAAAAGCAGAGTGGGTATTTACTGCTGATTCGGCACCCCATCTGCTGCCTTCTCTGGTGGTTACGTCCCTCTTCCCTTTCCCCTCCTTTTGGAGCCTCAGGGATGATGAAGTCAGGGAGAGAACGTTGGAATGTAATGCATCAGAAGAGAAAAACAGGACAGTGGTTCAGGGAAAGACAATAGAATGAGGAGCCCCGTTCTGCAGATGACCCAGTAGGATAAATGCTGTCTTCTCTGCCAATGGCAGTTTTACAAGTGTTTGAAGGACTGTGTGAAGGTTAAAAACACTAGCCTGTTTTAGTAAATCTCTGTTTTTCTGCTTGAGAGCTTTTCTGACGCTTGACTCAAGAATTTACTAAACTTGGTTTCATTAAACTCTTTTTAAACCTTTTTTTTTTCTTTTCTCTTCTTTTTTTTTTTGATTCTAGTGCCATGACTCGGATACCTCTTTTTTTTTTTTTAACTCAACTCAGGCCTTCAGAATAAGTCCTTTATTCTGAAGTTAGAGCACCAGGAGTGCTCTAACTTTTGAATACATCCCTTGTTTCCCTTTTCCTATAGCATATAACTCACTCCACTTGCCAATTAATTTGCAAACTTAACTCCTACTGAAGCAGCTTCTTATTTTAAAGTAACGTTGTCCACCCCATCTGAGAGGTAGAAATCTGGCTTTCTACAACATAGTAATCTTAGAACCACTCATTTAAAGTTTAAAATACAAAGCATTGCACACTCAAAGGTTATCAATCTATAGTGTTGTCATTTAACTCTTTAATTAATTTTGGTTAAAACCTAAGTAGTTAAGCAATAGAGTGATGAGTGCCTCAGAAAGGCATGTGTTGAGTAAACAGAAGTAAGCAATTGGAAGGAGCCAGGGAGAAATTGCTTGTTTAATGGATCTCTTCATTTTTAATGGAAAATTCTTTTAAAATATTTTTGCTTTCAAAGCTTAAGGCTTGTTTAGCTTAGACTGTTTGTATTTTTGAGTTTTGATTTCCTGATGATTGTTCCAATCTTGTTTACAATTCAAAGGAATGAAATTATTACCACAATATAGAGTATTTAGGGGTTATTGCTCAGCTGCTGTATTTTATTTTCAAAGGGGCAGTTTGAGTCTGATTCTGCCTTAAGTTTTGGTGATTCTTAATAATTATTAATTGCATATGTACTTTTCATTCAGTTCTTTAAAAAAATATCTGTGTTTGCTTTCTAGACTGATTTTGCAAGATTTAGCGGAACAAACGTGGAAACTGACTTTGTAGAGGTGCCATCACAAATGCTTGAAAACTGGGTGTGGGACATTGATTCCCTCCGAAGGTTGTCAAAACATTATAAAGACGGAAGCCCTATTTCAGATGATCTGCTTGAAAAACTTGTGGCTTCTAGACTAGTCAACACAGGTATGACTTGTAATTTTAGAAAAAAATTGCTGGCATCTTCTTCTGTAGAACTTATTTTCCCTTTAAATGGTACCCCAACAGTGCTAATATGAGGAGTGAAGAATATTAAATATACTGAAGTAGGAAACCCTGGGATTTTGTCTAAGACAAAAAACTACGTCTCTTTTAAATCTTGAGTAGAATGAGATGTCCTGCTCCCATTTTGTGATGGTACTACTGGAATCCGTTTTTGTAATCTGCAACCTTGTGATAATAGAACACACAGTTCTCTCTTCTCCAAAACATGCCCAAACATTCTTATGTTATTAGGTCTTCTGACCCTGCGCCAGATTGTTTTGAGCAAAGTTGATCAGTCTCTTCATACCAACACATCGCTGGATGCTGCAAGTGAATATGCCAAATACTGCTCAGAAATATTAGGCGTTGTAGCTACTCCAGGTATGTAACTACTACGAGTTGAGTTCATTTCCCTGTGAAGCACAGGGCATTCTCCTAACATTGCAGGGGAGATGGAGTTTGTCAGACAGATTACCTAATTGTTTCTGATTTCTGTAATCAGGCCATGACTTTCAGATAAGCATACTATGCCCTTATGAGTTATCCTGTCCAAATGCACTTGAAGGAAAGGTGGCTCCAGATCTGCAGCATTTTAGTGTAATCAGGCGTGAGCAGTTGGCCTCCGCCCCAGAGCTGAGAGAGACGTTCATGTTGGCATGAACTCTCAGCTCCTCCCTCCCTGTATGCACCATGACTTCCCTATGATTTTCAGTAACAAATTGGCAGAAGGGTCATTTTTTTTTCCTTTGCATATAGTATTTTATTTTTTCCATCCCCTCAAGCATTTATCCTTTGTATTACATACATCCATTTACACTATTTTAGTTATTTTTAAATGTACAGTTAAATTATTATTATTATTATTTTTTTTTTGAGACGGAGTTTCGCTCTTGTTACCCAGGCTAGAGTGCAATGGCGCGGTCTCGGCTCACCGCAACCTCCACCTCCTGGGTTCAGGCAATTCTCCTGCCTCAGCCTCCTGAGTAGCTGGGATTACAGGCACGCGCCACCATGCCCAGCTAATTTTTTGTATTTTTAGTAGTGACGGGTTTTCACCATGTTGACCAGGATGGTCTCCATCTCTTGACCTCGTGATCCACCCGCCTTGGCTTCCCAAAGTGCTGGGATTATAGGCGTGAGCCACCGCGCCCAGCCCAATTAAATTATTATTGACTATAGTCATCCTGTTATGCTAATCATTTTTAGGCATGGTGTGGTGGCTCATACCTGTAATCCCAGCACTTTGGGAGGCTGAGGCAGGAAGATCACTTGAGCTCAGGAGTTCGAAACCAGCCTAGGCAACATGGCAAAACCCGTCTCTACAAAAAATACAAAAATTAGCCAGGTGTGGTAGTGTGTGCTGTGCCTGTAGTTCCAGCCACCTAGGAAGCTGAGTTCAGAGGATTACCTGAGCATGGGGAGGCTGAAGCTGCAGCAAGCTGTGATCACACCAATATACTCGAGCCTTGGTGACATAGTGACACCCTGTCTCAAAAAAAAAAAGAGAGAAATGTTATTTTGGGGGAGAAGTATGAACTTCACCTTGTTTCTGATTCTGAAGTCAGTTCAAGCATTTGGCTAGCATTTTCTAACCAGAGATTTATGGGACTCGTGTGTATGTGTGTGTATATGCCTGTGTGTGTGTGTATTTATATTTGTATGTATATGTTTTAAGACAATATATAGTTGTGCTTTTATATGTAGTTGGTAGGGTGAATATTTTTCACCCAGGAAATTGTTATTAAAATGAGTCAGCCATATTTATAGAGAGAATAAAGATAAGAATGGTAGTTGAGTCATTCTAGGCTCCCTACATAGTAAGCCATAGAGCACCTTTGTGTCTCAAGCCACTTTGACAAAATCTTTTATAAAGTAGCCCTACAGGTAGATCAAATTGGTAAAGCATTCTTTTTCAGGCCAGACACGGTGCCTCATGCCTATAATCTCAGCACTTTAGGAAGCCAAGGTGGGCAGATCACTTGAAGTCAGAAGTTCAAGAACAGCCTGACTAACATGGTAAAACCCCATCTCTACTAAAAATACAAAAATGAGCCAGTGTAGTGACATGCACCTGTAATCCCAGCTACTGGGGAGGCTGAGGCAAGAGAATCGCTTGAATCCAGGATACCAAGGTTGCAGTCAGCTGAGATCTCATCACTGCACTCCAGCTTGGGTGACAGAGTGAGACTCTATCTCAAAAAAGAAGTTTTTCAGTAATTATCATCCTAAAATAAGTGTAATTCTGAGACATTTTAGATATAAAGAGATGTGGCAAAAAGTAGGGTTAATATTACATTCCAAGATACATACATGTTTAAGGGATAAGAAAGGACTGACTTCAGTTCCCAAACACTGAGCTATCTGATGGGTGTGGACAAAGCCACTGAAACTATCATTCCAGAGCTTGGGGCCGAAACCAGCTCTGAGGTTGAGCCATTGATAGATGTTTATAAACATCTTGGCCAAGAGGACACATAAGCCCAGGGAGTATTAGAGGTGAGATGATATCATTCACTCTCTCCTCCCACAGCTAGGCTCCCCAGAGGGAAACCTTAGCTAGCTGTTAACCTCATCATTAACATTTGCTATCACATTGATTGAAATGTATTTTTTTTTAAAGGCACAAATATGCCAGCTACTTTTGGACATTTGGCAGGGGGATATGATGGCCAATATTATGGATATCTTTGGAGTGAAGTATTTTCCATGGACATGTTTTACAGCTGCTTTAAAAAAGAAGGGATAATGAATCCAGAGGTATAGTATTCTTTTTCTCCTTTTATTAATTTTTTAGTTGCTCCCTCCCTTTAACTCCTAGTGTAAAATATTGATCGCACCTAGATTTTACTGTAAGAGGCTTGGTAACAGCTTTTACCTCTGAGGCTTTGCATCTTTCAAATCATCGTACATCATTAAATTGCAGTATACAAGTGATTCTATAACTTAAAAAAAAACTAGTATAGTTTCTTGCTTATTAACATTCCAATATATTACATAATTAAAAATTCAAAGCTTTCTTTATGGATTTGAGAATTTATAGCTGCTAGTTTTGACATGTGCCGTACGTTTTAGTTTTATAGGAGGTTGGGAAAGAAAGATAAATTCCTTCCCTGATGTCAATGGTTTCCCTATGTTTTGATATTCTCTACACACTTTGTGCACTTTTGTGGGAGACACCCTTTTCTGTGGCTGGCATGCCCCACCCACTATGTAGTTTGCGACCTTTGTGCTTTTAAATAGTTTAAGCTGCTTCATTAACCTGAGCCATTCCTTTCTGTGTGCAGTGAGTTGACTGCCAGGTAGCTGCCAGACAGATCTTCCTGATTTACAGCCCCCAATCTCCATTCTCATTGAAGACTCATCCATCAGATTATTTCCAAGGCTGATACATTTTCCAATATATGTTTTTAAACTGTTCGATTGAGAAATTAGAAGAACAAATTTATCAAAATCAGGCTTTCTGTGTTTATTTCAACCAACTGATTTGTTCTCCAAATATTTTTTTCTAGATTGCATAGTACCTTACACATATGTATTGAAATACATAGATGTCAGGAGGCTGAGGAAGGAGAATTGCCTGAACCCAGGAGGCGGAGGTTGCGGTGAGCCGAGATCGCGCCATTGCACTCCAGCCTGGGTAACAAGAGGGAAACTCCGTCTCAAAAAAAAAAAAAAAAAAAAAAAAAAGAAATACATAGATGTGATTTAGATCACCATTTCCTCCCCACCTTCCTCCTGAAATAACACCTCCAAAGTACTCATACTTTATTATTTTGAAGCATTTCCTCTCCCATCCTACCCCACCCAATCTGTTAAGTCCTTGTAATTCTTTTTCTATTACCTGGCCAACCCATTTACAAAGGTCAGCTGCTGACTATTGTTCTCACAGACTTACCTACTCCTGCATGGCCTTCAACCAGGACCCATCCCTTAATGCTTCTACCATACAGATGGTGCCCTGAGGATTCAAAGCGTCCTGGGGAAGATTGTATGACTCCACTGACAATGCCCCACTGCAAAGTCATACCCTCTAGCCTGAACCAGACCCCAGTGTTCTCTCTGGTCCAACTCCATTCCCCTTGATTTCCCTCCAAGTCCCCTCCACCTCTCTCCTCTGTCAGGAGATGATCTCTCCTCTGTCAGGAGATGATCTCTCCTCTCTATTTAAAAAATTAAGATCATTGAAACTGGGTGCAGTGGCTCACACCTGTAATCCCACAACTTCGGGAGATAGAGGTGGGAGGATCGCTCAAGTCCAGGAATTTGAGACCAACCTATTAAATATAGCAAGACCTCATCTCTACAGAAAAAGAACAAAATTAGCCAGGTGTGGTGGTACAAGCTTATAGCCCAAGCTACTCTGGAGGCTGAGATGGGAGTATTGCTTGAGCCCAAGAGAGGTGGCAGCTATAGTGAGCTGAGATCATGCCACTGCACTCCAGCCTGGATGACAGAGTGAGACCTGTCTCAAAAAAAAAAAAAAAATCATTGAGAATGAATACCTTCATCTTTCTTTCTCTGTACTTCAGTACTTGTCTCATTTCCTCCTGTCTCAGAGGAGATGCCTCTAACATCAAGAGTTTCTGGTTTGCTGCCTTGGAAAAAAAAACTCACTACTGATTCTGATAACCCCTGTTAGTGTTAGTACTCTGTTCTTTTCACAGCCTCATTTCTCAGTGTAAGAAGAGGTCTTTGCAAACCTCTATTTCCTTGCTTTTACCCCACCAACAGAATTGGAAAGTTATCCTTCCTCCGTAGTTACCACTGATGACCCAGATAACAACTCCGAAAGCCCTCACCATTTTTCTTCACTTCCTGCTTCTTGTTACTCCTCTCTCTGTTCACAGCCCTCAGCTCAGCAAGGAAACCCTTTTTTACTTCCCAGTATTCCCTGTGTGTTAGACAAGTTTGTGTGTTCCCTTGGGTCTCTCCACCTTAGCAAATTTATTCATTCTCTTTCATTCACCTAAAATATATGCCTCCTTAATCTGTGCCTCTCAAAAATTCTAGCAGTCTTAAAGGTCTCACTCAGATATCCACATGTTCAAGAAATCTTTGAGATTATCCAAAACCAAAAGTGATCTTTCCATCCTTTGAACATATGAGTAAATTAGGAGGAGGGGACTAAGCCTTCCCCATCACTGTCACTGTGCTGTGACTCACGGAACCACACACCCAGTACCTTATCTCATTACCTTTCTCTTCTCTTTTGGAGAACTGTCCCCTAAAATAAAGAGAAGTTAAAAATCAAAAAATAAAAATAAAAAATGAAAAATAGACTAGTTTTTAAAGAAAAGCAAAAGACAAAAAAGTGGTCTTGGGCAGGAAGGAGGGCTTCAATAAACTTTTACTATGTCTAGAATATTTAACATAACTATTACCAAGTGAAAAAAACATATTGTAAGATATTTTACACCATAGAATGCAAATGTTGATTTTAAAATGTGTTTAAGGAAAAAAAGCACATCAAAATGTTGTCAATGAGTATCTTTGGGGGATACATTAATGAGTGATAATTTTTCTATACGTTTTATGGAGCTTTTCCTTATTTTTACATAGTGCATAGATTATTTTAGATGCCAGAAACAATGTTTCAATGAGAAAAAAGATCTAACTAGGTAAAGGCACAATTGTTACATCTTACTGGCAATCACTGGTGAGGCTTCCTGGTGTCAGTGTACACTGCGTCTCCCAGCCAAGCCTTCGCCATCATCTCCTCTGCACTTGCCCTCATGTGACCACATACCCAGTACCCTCTATCATTACTTTTTCTCTTCTAGATGTCAAGGTAGCAGCCAAATTACTGATCTCAGTGGTTCCCAGGAACGTGCAAGCCTAATAGAAGCAATTCCTGTCATTCTGCTTCTCTGTACTTCCTCTTATTCTCAAGCTACATAGTTTGGCAGGCAACCATACTACTCTTATTTAGACAAAGGTGCTGGGTTGAACATAGAGAAAGCATGATCCCAACAACTTAGAGTTAAAACTTGTGATATTCTGGTCACTCACTTTACATTCAGAGGCCAAATAAACTACATTAAAAAAAAAAAAAACAAACTGTGATGTTAAAAACAATTTTTAGTGTTACTAAAATTCTGGATTCAGCCATGCTGTTTTCTTAGATGTCTTATTGCCATAAGGCTGGTGTTAATTCCTTCCTTTACACTTTTTCCTTTCCTTTCAAATGCTTTGCATATCATGGCACTCCCTGCTCCTCTGCTATTACAGCAATAATGGACCTGGCTCTAAAAGCTGAGAAGAATCCCTTGGCCCCTCACCCTCATACCCTTCGCAGATACTAGAAGATGGTTTTTAAGCAGCCATTTTATTCCCTCATACAATGTACTCTTTGGGGTTTTTTGTTGTTGTTGTTTTGCGGGGGTGTTCTTTAAAAAAGAAAAAACAAATACTTGCTCTAAAATAACACTTCCCTTACAAAATCCAAGTACCCAGTTATTAAAAATTAATGCTTTGGTAGAACAATCCTAGTCTACAAAAAACTTAGATTGTCATTAGAGGTATGTGTGATGAAGAGAAAAAGAAAGTCTTTTGTTGTCCCAAAGCATTAATTTTTAATAACTGGGTACTTGTATTTTGTAAGGCAAATGTTATTTTAGAGCGAATATTTATTTTAATAAGAAAAGAAGAAGAAGAACTCCCCACACAAAAATAATACACACTATGAAGTACCGTGCAGTCATGAAAAAGAACAAGAGCTGAACCCAGGATGTGGAGGCTGCAGTGAGTCGAGATCGCACCACTGTACTCCAGCCTTGGCAACAAGAGCAAAACTCCATCTCAAAAAAAAAAAGAACAAGATCATGTCCTTGGTAGGGACATGGAGCTGGAGGACATTACCCTTGGCAAACTAATACAGGAATCAAAAACCAAATGCCTCAGGTTCTCACTTATAAATGGGAGCTAAATGATGAGAACCCATGGATACATGGAGGAGAACAACACACACTGGGGCCTTTTGGAGGGTGAAGGATGGAAAGAGGGAGAGGATCAGGAAAAATAACTAATGGGTACTAGCTTTAATACCTGGATGATGAAATAATCTGTACAACAAACCCCATGACACAAGTTTACCTATGTAACCAACCCACACTCATACCCCTAAACTTAAAAGTTAAAAAAAAGAAAAACACTTCTTCAGACCAATATACCATACATTATTTTGTGCCATAACCACAGTGTGTTATTAGCCAACACTGAGAAAGATGGCATTATCTTGAGTTGTTCCAGACTCTGTGGATTTGCTTTAGTTTCACGTATCAGTGAGTGGTTGCTTCAGACACATAGACAGGATAAAAATATGAATTTTTATGATATAAAGGAATACTTCATTTGATCTGAAGTCATGGGAATCAGCAATCAAAACACATCCTGCAGACTTTGTTGTCTCACCCTCCCTATTGTGTGTTTGGGTCATTTTGAGAAGATAGCAGGATGGCCCTTCAAAGAGTCAGTGCCTGCTATTGTTAGTCCCCAGGCAACCGGAGAGGCTGGGAGCTGAGAAACCACATGTTGTTGATGTTATTGGTTATGCAATAGAGAAGACTGTCTCCAGGCCTTCTCCCTGTCATCCTACAAACCCCAGAGTCTGCTCTGGGGACCATTTCAGATCTTCACAAGCAGAACTACAGAAAGTAGCAGTAGAATATTTTAGGGTACAGTTTTCATTGTTTTGAGGGCCTTTATCAAAGTGTAATAACTGGCTGCTTACCTATAACAGCCTAAAATTTTGCAACCTC